TGTTCACTGGTCCCAATGTTTGTCCATCCACCTCAAACATGTCGTTTACCTTGGTGCACGTTTGCCTGTTTCTTGCACACACACATACACACACACACACTCTCTCTCTCTCTCTCTCTCTCTCCAAAACCAGTTTTCGATACTCACAGCACCTAGTCAACAGGTTCTTCTTTCAGTTTTCGGCTGAAGCCCAAGACACCTTACGATTTGTGAGGACCCTAAAGTCCAAGATTCACCTGAAACCTTAACAGATACTGTGCATACAGTTCCCCAGGTTGTGAATGTGCCAGGTGAAATGACGATCTCGGTGGCGGAGGCTTCAGATCCGGCAGTGAAGGAGGCACGCCCAATAACATCACAGATTACGAAACAAGTCCAAGGTAATGGATGAATGTGTCGGTTTATAGAGGATAAATCAGTCTGAAAGTCTTGCGGATACGTAGCTGTTGTTCTGGACGCAGGGGTCGGTTCAGGTACATTGACCGCCCCGTGTGAGGTCTGAGCATGTTATCGTTTTTGGAACAGGAGAGCACTGAAACACCCTCCTGAAATCGCCCAACTCCTCCTAAGTGCTCTAACACCACACAAGTTTGCAGGGCCGCCTGCTGTTGTACGCCGGCTGTGAGTCCTTGACGACACTCTTCAATGTCACACCCAAGGAGGCCAGGCGGAGCAACGGAGAACAGTTGCGGAGCTGGGCTCGAGAAGGGTGCAGGTTGCGGGAGTAAAGAAAGTTCGATACTGTACATAAACATCTCTTCATGATGCACCCTTGTGCGCAGGCACATTCTGTGCAGAATTACATGAATCAAGTAGCTGAACTTATGCATGCAACAGAAACCATGAGACAAATGAGGACACAAATAATCAAAAAAGAAAATAAGTAAAGAAACAAATCAAGATATATAAATGAGTAAATACATAGCTAAATATGTCCGCAAACAGACAAACAACCAATCTACCAAGCAAACAACCGACCAACTGACCGACAGACCGACCGACCGACCAAGCAAGCAAGCAAGCAAACGAGCAAGCAAAAAAGCAAGCAAGCAAGCAAGCAAAACAAGCCAATTCGCAAGCAAGCAGACAAACAAGCAAATCACAGAAACAATTACATAGACAATCAACCACAAAAACAATTTACATGGATAATCAGTACATACTGCTAGAAGGCCAGAAACCCGCAGAACTCAACTCGAGTTCGTGTGCCAGGACGGCTCCCCCCTGGATTTCTTCAAGGTCCTGACGAGCGGGGTCGTCCGTGCGCGTTTGACGCCAAATGTATTGGTTTCGTAATGCTCTGCCATGAACATCCATGGACGGTCATAAAACAGGAGCCCCTCCGCTCACGTTGTTTGGATTAGGGACTCGTGTCAGATGTGAGCTTCTTTGCTGTGAATTTTCTTGAACTTCACCCTCCAGCTGCAGTGTCGTCAAGAGTTCGAGAACTGTAGAGTCCCGACAAACCTTGTCGCGAGCCAGGCGAAACCTGAGCAGCTTCAGCTGTTTCAGCCAGGCGCCACGGCTCACGTTTTGGATTGGGAACAAACGCCGAAAGAGACAGCAAGCCAGTGCCGAACCCCAAGCTGGTGTCTTTGCAGGTGCCCCGGTTGAGATCAAGTCAGACGAGAAAGACAAAGACAAGTCCATGGAGGTGAAGGCCGGGCTCGGCCGGAGAAGCTCAGATTCCTTTTCGACAGGCTCAGAGTCCCTTGCAGACACTCGCATCTACGATCGGACACTTGCGTTCTGTGTGCGAGATTTCAGACTCTATGACAGCGAGGTCACAGCCGACCTCGGCATCACCTGCAAGGGCCTCCCCGACAAACCCGCCTTGGCCTCACCTTTTGAATGCCCACATTCCAGGCTGCTGCGCTTCCTCGAGCCAAAAATTTCAACTTGAGGCCGAAACTGTGACCGGTGCTGAGAACCCCTCCACGCAGTCTATGCCATGCGTATCGCCGGAGCTTGTGGGAGGCGGGTGTCCGCTGAGCCATTTGGGCGAGACATTCAATTGAGAGTTGGTTTGGGTGGTTGGTGGATTCCAAGATTCGTTCGAGGCTGCGGTAGTTCCCGTGTCCAGGAGCATTGACAACAGATTCAGCATGCAACTGCCACATGCCATGCTGGCTGTTTGCCAACCGCCCCTTCTGAGTGTTCACGAGGTATCTGCAAAGCACTGTTCCTTTAGAATCCCTGAAAAAGGCCCACTGGGTTTGAACCGGGACTCGACCCTGAGCAGGCGGGGTCAACACCACGCTGTACTCCTGCAACCGCGCAGCTCGTTGCCCAGAGCTTCCATTCAGCCAGTACTGGGTACACTGGGTACCGTGCATTTCTGCAGACTTCAGTTAGACTCTAGTTTGGGCAGGTATGCAAGTAGAGTACCTGCGCCAGCTGCTCTGACATGTCGAACCTACATCCCTGCACCTGCCAAACCCTTCATTCTTTGCCTTTCAGTGTCAACAATGAAGCCCGAAACTTCCAAGCCTTCCTTCGTTTCCGAAGCAGTGCACCCAGCGTCCAGTGCGCCTGGTGGCTTGTTGCCGAGGTTGTCTGAAACCTTGGATCAGAAACTTCGAAACCATAGCCCCCAGAGTTGTGTTAACTTTTTCCGACATCGCGGTGCCTCATCCCTTCCCTTGTCGCTTCGACCCTTTTTTGCACTGAAACCCTCGAACCTCAAGCCGGATGAATCTACAACCCCTAACCCCTTAAACCCTTAAACCCCCTAAACCCCCTAAACCCTAAACCGTGGAGAGCTGAAGCCTTCCAGCTTCCCCCAAGCAGCGCAGCCGGGGGGCCCTTTTGGCCCAGGCCTGGTTCGACCCGGGCCTCGGGGCCGGCAAGTTCCGCCTGGGCCCCTGGTTGCCTCCGATAATAATAATAACAATAATAGTAATAACAATAATAATAATAGTAATAATAATAGTAATCATAATAGTAATAGTAGTAATAGTAATACTAATAATAATAATAATAGTAATTATAGTAATAATAGTAGTAGATATAGATAGCATCGTCCATTTGGGAGCGCTGCTTCGTGATCTTGGTGATCTTGGGTTTTTTTGTCACGGCTTGGACACCGGTCCTGTCGGTGGGTGCGCAGGAAGCTCTTTATTTCTTTTAACCAGGGTTTGGAACAAAGCTTCTTTTACCACGTATTATAATGGCACCGCTGAAGGCCATGGCTCAGAGTCTCCCCCCTTGTACGCTTAAGGCTCAAGCCCATCAGTTCGATGCCCAGGTCCCGACCATGTGGCGAACTATGTCGAGTTGAAACTCTCCTCCTTGACATTCCCAATCTCCGACAAGTGGAGCGATGCAGAGGCACCTGTATGAAGGGACGAAGGGTTGCTTTTTCAAGCCCGGTATCGAGGGCTCAGCCTCACATCAGCAGCAGTAGCAGCAAGAGCGCCGGCACCAGCAACCAGCGGCAGAGCAACACCTGCCAACCTCCCCTTTCTGCACCAGCACCGTGGTGGCGGCCACAAGCCAGGCGAAGTCCATGTACTACGTGCGAGCTCGAGTCTGCGGTGTCGCGGTGACCAGCACCGTCGCTGGCCTCAGATGCATTCGTGGCGAGTTGAAACAAGGCACTTGACGAAACAACACCACATTGTTGACACCGACCATACGAGTATTTTTTCAGTTAGTGTACTGTAAGTGGCTCACGTGACAGCTCGCCATGCGGCGTTCCCGTACTGGGCTTCTCATGTTTGTAGCCTGCACTGGCTTCTCAGGACCTGTCAGGATGCATGGCTTCTCTTTGAATTGTCTTGGCTACAAGAGCCAAGCATGCTTCAGTGTTCTCGCATCCGAGGCTCTCCACCGGCCAAATCCGGTCTGGTCCAAGGTGTTGGGTGCTGAGACGGTCACTCTCTTTTCTGTGTTCGCCGCAGTTCCCCTGTCCGAGCTTTTGATATCAAGAGCAGTCTTATGCCTCCAGGCGAGTTGTAGGTTGCACTTTACGCTGCACCCTCTGCTGTGCTTTGGCATGGGTTCTTCAGGCTTCCGTCGCATCTCGTGGACCCCAGCCAGATCCGCTTCGAAGGTCGGTGTTTCTTTGTGCCGGGCTTCTTTTGGGTGTTGAGTGCTACCAGTATGGTGGTTGGTGTGTGTCTATCCGTGTGTGTGTGTGTGTATGTATGTGCTGGCGTTCGTCGGTGGGTGGGGGGGGGGGGGCTGCGGGAGGCAAAGGAGCTTCTTCCGTGGAAACGCTAAACCGGTACTCAGCAAGCAGTGCCAGATCCAGGGTGTTGCTCTGCCACTGTCACATCCCATCATCGATCGGGCTTAGGGTTTTGGGGTTAGGCTGACATTCCATCTTTCCCAACAGCAGCCGTTCCCGATTCCACCTCGGACTAGAGCTGATCTATTCGGCCGTGCACAAGTATGCATCCACTACCATAAGCTCATGAATCGAAGCACGATGTCGATGATGCTTGTGATGATCATGATGGTATGATCGATATCGATGGCAACCGCGATTGTGACGTGATGCAGGGCTGATCTTCAGCACCCTAACTAGAGTTCGATCATCACCAGGCCAACAGCTGCTTCTCCCGTTGCCAGCTGGATGCTGGGCTGGTGACGACCCGGAACGCAGCGAGATGCGGAAGGTCCGCATTGAGGCCTCTCGCCTGGACTGTCGGCAACTGTACGTGTCGACTAGGCTTATGCAGCTTACGCAGCGCAGCCTGCATTGTCCGAGGTTGTCAAGGCAAGCTACAAGGACACTGGGTCCGTCCTCGACTTCGACAGCTTCGCTAACACAGCAGGAGCGGCCCCAAAGAACACATACTCCGAGAAGGTGGTCTTCAAGGCGAGCCTCGGGGAGTCGGGGAGTACTGCGATGCCAGCAAGCTGACCTTGGGCAGGCATGCTGCACAAAATCTGTTCATTGTCGTCTAGCGACAAGATACTTCATCTTCTTGCATCTGCGTGTGCTTGTGTAGCTTGTGCACATGTCTCGGGGTTGGCTGAATGGGCATTACACCCACGTGCAGAAACGGGCTGATGAGATAGAGACAGGGCAAGGCCCTCATGTCCCCATGTCTTCTGCCACCAAGTGCTGGGTGTCGTGCGCATTCCTTTTGACATTGTTACATTCTTGGTCTTGCTCGTTCCGGTGGGAGTTTCTTTGCATGTCTCGGTGATGCAGCCTTTTGCGCCCTACTTGAATTTGCGGCGAGGCTGCTCTTAGATTCGACAATCACATGTGTGGCCCCCAGCATGCTACTTTTTTTCAGGCGGGTCGAAGCTTCGTGGCTGTGTTAGTGTAACTGTTGTCGGGAAAGCTTTTTGTAATGTTGAGGTCAGGCATGCAGGTTTAAAAGCTTCTGCACGATGAGTGCTGAGCATCAGGCTCGTGGACATGCAGAAGCAGCTGGGCCTGTTCCTGACGGGGCCTGATCAACAGGTCAAGGAGGCCGCCCTTGGCCCCGAAGCATTTCAGCCCTCCGCCGCAACGCAAGCCTTGGATCGGGTCTTTTGGCATCCCATGGTCTTGGGTGAAGAGATCTCAGGTCTTGAGAGTTTGAGTTCTGAGCTGCCAGCCCTGAAGCTTCACTGACGTTCGTCCAGCTTCTTTTTTTAAGCAAGGTGTCGATATTCCCATCAGGTAGACTTGGAAAGCAAGAGACATGAACTCGAACGTGCGCTCCCAGCTTCCGTCCCAGTGCTCAACAAGGAGGGTCAGCCTGAAGCCTTGAGCTCAAGCAATTTGCCTTGTCTCCTATCGTTTTGCTGCCAGCTGCCAGGTTGATGTGTTCCGACCGACGGCGAAGTCGGACCACGCCACCGACACTCAGCCCCAGGCAGTTGGTCAGGGATGTTTTTGAGGGGTTTCTGGACGTCTTGATGGAATCCAAGAACCTGCTGAACACTTGTTGCTGAGTGCTGAGAGGTTGTACAAGGGTCGACTGGGTGACAATTCAGAGAGCAACCAAGAGCGAGCAGCTGTAGGCCAAGTCACTTTCGAACGTTGTCAGCTGGCGGCCAAAAGTCATGTGAAAAATACGAGAAGCATAAGAATGCATAGGCTTGCACTCGGATGTGTCCAAAGATGCCCGACGGTTTTTTCCCCGAGCTCTGAAGATCCCATCAGGGGATGCTCAGCTTGGAGTTTGCCCTGAGAGACCGGGATCAGGCGAGAGCACGGGCCCCGGGCCGTGCGTCGCAAGCACGCTTAAGGATGGCTGAAGGGTTTAAGCGGAAGTGCTATTACAAAGAAATAGAAAGAGATAAATCTACAACAGTAAAGCAAGCAAACAAAATAGACAAAAGAAAGAAGCAAATAACTCGACCAACATAAACACACACACACACACACAAATCAAGCAACCGATAGACACACACACACAGACAGAGACAGATGTATATATACATACAGATAGGTATGTATATATTTGTTTGTATATATATATACGCATACACTTGTACACATACACTCGCATATGTACATGTATACACAGACATGTATGTGTGCATTCCTGCACATACATACTCACACACACACACACATATATATATACACACATACATACATATATATATATACATACACACACACACATCACACACACACACACCCCTACCCGCCCTGATCGCTTTCTGTGCCAAGGCTGTCATGGGCCAGTCCGGCCACAAAAGCGCCCTGTGCATCGGTGACAAGGCGAGGAGCGGAGATATTCAGGGCTGGCCGGAAGCCCCAACCGTTTCAGGAAGACAGGAGCAGCTGTATTGCTGTGTGACTCGCATCCGTCTTCAGGCGAGTAGTGTGCTCAGCTTATATTCTAATGGTCAGGGCAACATAGACCAGTAAATTCGGTCTGTAGTCTGATGCTCAGCAGGCTATGCTGGTGGTGGAGGAGCCCGACACTCAGGAAGACCCGCCAGAATGTGTTTCCGTTTTCAAAAAGCAGCAGTGTTGATATACTTGACCTAGCGTCGAGTGTCAGGGCCCCCCTGCCCCAAACAGCCTCAGTGCCGTAGCCACGTGTGCCAAGGCCTTTCCTTTACCCGAAGGATGCTGCGGACTTCCGGAAGCAGTTCTGCGTTGGCGACTTTGTCAAAGGCAAGAAGGCACGTCGGGAGCCTGCTTTTCCTTTCTGCTGGGGCTCTGGATTTCGGAGCTTCACGCCCTTGAAGGCTAGGCTTGCTTCAAGCAGTGTGCATACATTTTTGATGGAATTTCTCCGAGCTGCCGGGGTTTCTCCAGAGCAGGAAGTATGGCCAAAGCATGTTTTGATCTGAGCCAGCGGACTCTCCCACGGGAGGATGGACAGCCGTGGCGTGTCGAACTCCGCGAACCGTGCCTGAGCAGCGAGTACGCCGAGAGCGGACTTGGCGACCTGGTCCTTCGGCTTCAACCTTGACTTGCCCTTGACTTGCCTTTGGACTTCACGTTCGCTTTGGGATCTTTGGGACTGGATTCCGAGCTGGTGCCCCGAAGGTCTAAACCTCAAAGCCTGAGCCACGTCTCGTCTACATTTTTGCCAGGTTCCGAAGCGGCCGTTCAAGCAGCCCCAATTGGCATGTTTTCTTGCGGAGCCTGCTCTTTCGGTTCTCAGGCATGTCGGGGCATGTCGGCGGCTTGGGTCTGGAGCTTTGCGCCACTTAGCAACGTCCAAAACTCCACCGAAACTCCATGCACTCAAGCGTCGAGTCGTACACGGTTCCTGCCAGGAGCTTCATCCCCACTTTCTGCGACGACATCATCCCCCACAAGTATGTGGGAGCCCATGGCCAGGGGTGATACGTTTCACAAACCGGTTCTGCAGCGACGGGCTTCAAGGTTTAGATAAGCTTCAAGTTGTGCAAGAACAGAGCTTGATTTTCTTTTGTGAGATTCTTCGACTACGAGGTAAGGGTTTTGGGTTGATGCAGTGTTTGAAACGCTTGTTTGTGTTTCAAGCTTACGCAACTTCTCGCAGTCGTTGTGGCTTGCACCACTGCAGCTTCTTCGCAAGCGCCTTATCACCAAGTCCAAAGCCGGATCCCACTTCGGATTTCCACAAAGCCGCTCTCGAAAGCCTCAGCTCTGTGGTGCTACCTTGATGTCAGGTCATGCCCTTGTCGGAGAAAGAGTTCCTGGACGGCTGCCTGCCCTTTGAACTGTCCAGGGCCTTCGAAACCTAATCTGGCTAGGGCCGGCTGGGGGCTGTGTTTGGCTTTCATGGAGTGATTGAATCTGCATCCACAGGCCTGAACCCAAGCACAAAGCCTCGCAGCCCCGCGAGAGAAGACTGAAGCCTTGAACCGCGCAAGCCGCTTTTCAAAAGACTTCTGTGGTGAATGTAATCACGGTGTGCGTGATAGCGTTAAAGCCGTCTTTCTAAGTGCAGAGTCCGAGAAGCTAAGCCCAGAACCCTGAGCGCAAGCTGCATTGCCGTCCGTCATCGTCTGTCCACATCCTACTGCGGCCCCCGCAGACTTTGGATCCCCTTGAATCGCACCATTGTCGCACCGTTCCCCAATCCCCCACCTGAACCCTCGGAAGACTCCTCCTTACCTTCAATTCTCGGCAGGACAAGCACAAGCCGGGTTTCTTCAATCGCATTATGGATGACATGGCTTCGAAAGCAGCCGGGGGCCTAGGGCGGATGCTCCAAGGCCCTTCAGTTCTTGGGCTTCAGGGCGAAGTTTGTGTGTGCTGGCTGGGCGATCGGGTTCGTCAACTGCTTCAGCCAGAGCACCTTCTCGGGTTGCAAGAGGACCCCGAAGTCTTACCGGACCTTGGGTGGTGCCATTGCCTGCAGCATGCTTTGAAAAGCAGTGCTGCAGCTACCGCCCTGAGCCACGACAGTGTGAACCAGCTGCTGCACCCATATGTGCGAAGTTGACGGTCGTCGGGGACCAGTATTGTGGTAACTATCTACCAAGCGCCTACCAGCTGATAGTATGACAGTGACGTACAAAGGTGAATAGCTGAAACGACGGGTCTCTCCTGTATTCTTGGAGCAAAACTTGTCTGTGGCTGTGGCTACCCTTGCCACTGCCGCTGCTCATGCTCATCGATCACCCTCATCCTCATCGCATCCTCAGCTTCATCGTCTTCCTGATATTCATAGTCATCGTCATCTTCGCCGCAATCACCACTAGTCAAGTCCACCCCACGCCCAGTCATCCGACCACACGCTGCCGTACCGGTCCGGCCCCAACAAGCCAGTCGCAGGGGCCCCGGCAAAGCGGTCACCTTGTGCTTGCTTTGGTTTGGGCTGGAGGTTTTGGTGGTCTGGGATGGTTCAGGAGTTTAGGATAGCTTCAGGTGGCATTTTTTGCAATGGGGGCAAAACTGGGCTGTAGGGATTCTTGGCGTTCAAGCTTTTGCAGCCGAGGGCTTCCTGTAGAGTTCAGAAGCCCCAAATCGTACACTCCAGGTATCTCATCTCGAGCACATGAACCGACACGTGCCTGTGACGATCCTGGCTATGTATGCGGACAGTGGCAACGGTGCCACGTGTGATGTGGAGCTCCTCGACAGACGTGTTTGGAGCTTGATTGTGTGGAGTATGGCGCCCCAAACTCGAAACTGGTTCGGGTGTAGCCGTATTGTTGATGTTTGAGGTTGTTGCTTGGTGATTTTGGTTTGAGAGCGTAGGACGTTGGCACTGCGCAGCGCAAACATGGTTTCGGCTTTCGCTGATCAGCACTGCGCTTGGAGTCGCTAAAACTGCTTGCGTTGGTTGGTGCCTTAATTACGGATATAGGGTCGGAGTCCCAACAACTCTTATCAATGCGAGGGGTGTTCTGCCTAAACCTAAGCGGGGCCTAAACCCCGCTGAAGCCTTATTTCTCCATGCACCCGAGGGTCACGGAGCTCTTTGTCAAAAAGTGGCGGGAGCAGAAGCACCGAAAGCTTCCGGGCTGCAGTGCAAGCAGGGGCTTTGCGGACGCGGTGGATGCACGGCCCTATGTGTTCGATTTACGAGTAGCGACCCAGCAGCGGAGGTTTGCCTTTCCCGGCAAGCTGGAGAAGCTGGATCGCAAAGGGAAGGCTGGGGAGGCGCTGCCCCCGCGGTTCATTCTCAAGCAGGTGCCAGCAATCCTGCTGAGCCTGGGTCTCGGCATACCAGAGGTCGAACATGGAGTGCTTGGGTGCCACGGTTTCTGAGCTAGGGTGTAGGAAGGGACTCTGGGCTTTGTAGATAACTCTCGCGACAGCATACAGATCTTGAAATGGGGCGCGCTACTCTGGAGTTCGTGAGATCTAGTGTCGGCTATGCAGTAGTGTAGAAAAGATTTGGACACCTATCCTAAGTGCGTTACATGCTTTCAGCACCTAACATCTGTTGCTCCGCACAAGTTGCAGAAGACGAGAGCGAGGATAGCATGTCTCAATCGATGAAGGGCTGCCATGCCATTGAAGCAGTTGCCAAACAGTTTGCATGCCCGTACCGCGTCTGAACCTCAAGCCTGAAGCCTGTGCTGCCCCCGCTTTCTCAGATGCTGTGCACTATTCCGGCATCAACGTTTACGATGCTTTGTGAGGGGCCCGGCAGGTTCGTGCTCCAGGAACCTGTTTCCAGGTGAATTGAAACGGTGACGGCGATGTGCAATAACATCAACAGGACGCACCTCCCAGCGGTGTCGTGTACTGCTATCACAGAAGGCTAAACGTAGCGGTAGAGGCGTGTTTGATTACAGCCATGGCGCCGGGCCAAACAGAAGATGATAGACGCAGGTTTCCCCTTCTCTCCACATTGCTGACACTTGGCCTTTGGCCACGCCTAGCAGACGTGTGAACAGTTCGGGAGCGGAGCTTCTCGGACTCTCGGGGATAAGGGCATCAAAGAACCCAAAGGCCTTCACCACCTAAACGTTAGCCCTTAGCCTTAGCTGCTAGCTGGTACTCCCTGAAGCTTGCAAAACCTGAGGTTCAAGACAACTTCGGATGTCATCCAAGCGCCGCCGCCTGCCAACGAGTTCGATCCTCGCTCCTACGAGGCCGGGGGAGGAAACGAACTGATCCAAGCGTCTCCCTCTCTCTCTCTCCTTCTTGCTCTTTCCATGGGTGCCCTTGTCACTGGAGCGACCTTCTCATGACGGGAAGGCTGCGCAGTGGGAGTCTCAGTTTCCGTTTCGACGGGGGCCGCTCTATTCTGGGACCCGCTGATGCCTTGTGATTCAGTGAAGCTGCAGGGCTTGGGAAGTTCGCTTTGACAAAGTCTCGCTCTTGTGGTCCTTATTCGCCGCTGACGGGACATCCGAAGTGACAGCTCGATAAACTCGGTTCGCGTGAAGAGCTGTGGACTCCGTGGACACTGTTGCTGGAGTTTGTCCTCTTGTTTGACTGAGGAAAGGTGCGAAGAAGAATTACTTGGAGCACGCGACTCAGCTTTCCGCCTTGAACCGGGCGAAGCGACTGAGCTTTCCGATGAGCTTTTCGAAGCATGGCGCGGCCTGACTTGCAGATGCTAGACTGCGGGCCCAGCAACGGCTTTCCTCGAAGCTCGTCCAATCCCTTTGAGGTACAAGCTCGCGGCGGGCCCGCTTCCTCCCGATGCTAGCACATCGGCCTGCATGTACGAGTTCAATGCCCCGGGCTGAAGTTGCTTCAAGTTCACAGCACTTCCAGAGAGTGAGGACGACAAGAGTCAAACTGACCAAGGTCCGTGTGCGCTTCCCCAGCGAGTCCGGACCCGAGCTTCAGTGGTGGCTCAGTTGACGGGACGAAATATTTTCTTACAAAACACCCCAGAGACCTGGGATGGATGCGTAAGCAGACAAGACTCCTCGAGGCTGCACTGCCGCAGCGCGTCCCGAACTCGTCCCGAACTCCAAAGCCCTCAAGCCCTCAAGTTTGATAGCTGTCGCATCTCTACCAGTCAGCAGTCCTCGACAGAAAACATCTCAAATCTTCGAGACGGTATCAGGTACGAGATGTATCAGTTCGTCGCCATGGTGCGCAAATGCGTGCGCGTGGACCACTACCAGCAGGAATCGGGGGTTCTCGGGGTGTGGCCTGGTTTGGCAGGCGGATGCATGCGGATGCTGCTTTTGGCACGCCAGCGGCATTCCGACAGCCAAATACGACCAGATCATTGTCCGATGAGTGCACATCCAGGCGGCAGGCTCGAGGCAGCGCTTTGTTGTGAGGCATCGAAAATGATCGAGTACCAAAAGCAATCTCAGATGCCTGGCTGCAGTGAGAGGCTTCGAACAGTCGGAGCCCGATGAAGCCCGATTCCAGCCTAGCATCCGAAGACCCGAAGGCTCAGAAAGCCAAACTCCAAAAGCGAGAGATGGCCAGGCTACAGGTTCCAAGCCTGGGATTTGTGTTATCGCCTCTGATGCATGCGAGCCTGAGGATGACGACCCCTCAGCTAATGCGCCATCCCGGGCTGCAGAAAAGCGGCGGGCAATTGGACGCCTGAGGGCCCGGATGTCTCCAGGAATGGGGTGTTGGGCTCTGGGTTCAGTGCTTGCAGGGCTGAGCCCTAAACCCTGAATGGAGAAGCTCTGATCAGTCTCCATGAGACCGCGAAACAGTGAATATTGGGAGCGATACTTCTAAGCAGTACAGTCAGTACAGGCTGGGCAGACTCGACATGTCATTGCTGTGGGAGTAGCTGTGCTGCAGGTATTGCAATGAGGCAACAGGGGCCACTGACAACGGTAAGTCGAAGTGAGTATACAGCGCTTCTGATTGCAAGTTCAATACAACATGACACCAAAGAGGAAATAGTTTCAATAGAATGAGCGACCGACGAGGCTTTCGACCCCGAGACTCAGGCTCCAGTGTCTCCACCTTCCGCCGCAAGCTCCGAAAGACAAAGCGCCCACTTTCGGCTAAGGCCTTGAAAGCCCTGAGCCCCAAACCATGAAAACCCCGAAGCTCGTCAAAGGGCTAGGCCTGAACGCCCTTGACATCAAAAGCCCGCGTCGAGGTGCTCCTGGTGGAAGCTCGCCGACTTCAGCCGCTGCAACATGATCGAACATCGAGGGTTTTTGAAGTGTTCCCTAGCTTCTTTCGTATGTAAGGTTTTCAGGGTTTCTTTATGCGTTTTTACGATGCTTTGCGGTTGCTTGGGGTGGGGGTTTCGGGGCTTTCTGGAAAGCGGCCTGGTCACTTTGGAACCTCCGGTTGAAGAGTCAAACGAAGTTCCAAGCTAGACGGCCAACCCCAGCAAAGGCAGTCGGCTCTCAACACGGTGCTTACCTCGGACCCCATCACCCTCTACGAGTCGCCAGAGCCCCAGCACTGCTTCGAGATGTCAAGAGCAGACTTCTCACGCAGTGCCACGGCCAGCTGTGTTAGGAGACTCGTAGTGTATCTACATGGCTTCTTGCTGCCACTTTGTTTTCCTTGAGATGGTTTCCGCGTTTCTCATCTCGGGTGCCCTGCCTGAGACCGCAACAATCCCAACCCCTTGTGCCTGCCAATGCCAGAAACGAGTTGCCTCCTTTTTGGACTTCCCTTCTACTTGGCATTTGCAAGCCTACGTTCGGGACCTCAAGGGCCCAACAGCTGAGGTGGTCGAAGGGCCGTTCCGATGTGGACCCGTCACAGTCTAATCAAATGGTGGATGCGAACTATCTGCCGGCGCCTGAGCAGGGCTTCGATGGCTGAGGACCTGGTTGTCGGATTTGGGCCGGATCTTGGAGTCTCAGATCCTGTGAAGATGTTCGAGCCCCGCACATTGAGGCCGGAGCTTCTCGGTACCACGGATGGCCAAGCGCTAGCCCCTGCTCCTGTTTTCCGAAGTGGGTGTTTTGTGCCCTTTCGCTTGACCGTGGCAAGTGCATGAACCACGTTCAAGGCAGCTTGTGCCCCAACATCTAGCAGCAGTCTCAACATTGGCAAGGGATGTCATAGCCCACACACACGATGTGTGCGTGGTTCTGTCGGCGAAAGCTGAAGGCGCTGCCTCAAAAATGGTGTTGGGCTATCAAGCACTTATCACATTTGTCACCGAAATGATGAAGCCTGCTCCTTGAGACCTGCTGCTGAGCCGCTCCCAATCCAGGCGGTGAAGGGCACACCGGAAGGAAGCTCGATTGGGACCTTCGTCAACTTCAGGATGCTCCACAACAAGGAGGCACCGGTGCGTAGGCTGTAGGGGATGAACATCACCAACCCAAACACGTCTTCTCTCGGAAGGAATTGAATAGCACTCCTCGCAAGATGAACTGAATGGCAGACTGCGCCTGCATACAGGTCATTCCATACCGTGGGACGAACAAGCAAGTGTCTCCGGCTCGACCCCCAAGCAACACGTGATTCTCGTTTCTATTGTGTTCAGTTCTATTTGTGTTGGGCACGAAGGAGCTGAAGAAGCAGAGAACGTGGTCATTATGATGATGGTGATTATGTTGCTGCTGCAGTCGTCGTCGTCGTCGTCGTCGTCGTCGTAGTTGTAGTTGTGGTTGTGGTCGGTGAACCTTGTCAAATTGAAATGAGTTTTTCGTGCGGAGGTCGCATGAAACTCGAGTGCCCTTTGACCGCACGGCCAAGGTCATTTCGGGTACCGACAGCCCAGTTTGGTCCAAGCTGCCGCAGCTGGAGAGTGTGGGAGGCAAGGCAGTGATTGCTTTCGGGCTCATGCTTAGGTCAGCCGCCGGTCCAGATCGCATGCCCAGAACCGGTTTGGTTAGATCCAAGTCCCGTCCCTGCAGGCTGGACGTTCCGCACGGGCATTATCGATCCCGAGAAGTACCCGAAATTGCTGATTGAGTTCGAGGTCGGTAGAGTTGGAAATCCATTCAAAGTTGGGCTAGCTGCTGCGCTACTTTTGCCAATCTGTGTCTCCTCATGGCAGCATTCCCAGTGTCAGTGGCATTGCCATCATTCCTTTTAGCGTCGTTACCGTCGTGATTGTTGCGGCCGCGGTCATGGTGGTTTTGGGATTTTACACAGCGCCCACGGTTGCAGCTCCGAGCACTTCAAGCCTGAGAGATTAGTGCGGTTAGTGTGTATGATTGTGTATGTTTCCGTTTCACCATCATTTTTTGGTGGCCCTCGAAAGCTCTAAACCCTTGAACCCCGAAGCCTCAAGCCCAAACCGCCCAAACCGCCCAAGCCGCCCAAAGCGCCCAAGCCCCAAACCCCCAAAGCCTTGAAGCCGCAGGTGATGAAAGCAGGGATGTCTCCGAGTCGCATCGGTGTCATCCAACTCCCGGTGACTGAAGAGCCACACTGCCGCGTGCTGTGATTTCGAAAAGGGTTAAGCAGGATTTGAGCCTCTTGAGCCTTCGGAAGTTTTGAGGAAGGTCCATGTCGTCTCCCTCAGTGTCATTGTTCAGGTGTTGGGATCTTTCACTCCGAGGGCATCTGAGACCTTTTTTTCTCTGAGCTCATAGACGGGCCAGGCAGTTCCTGACGAATCCCAACCAGATGTTCAAGAACCTTTGGCTCCCATTGGTCAGCGTGAAGGCCTGGGGCCGCCATGACTGAGAGTGGAGCCGGGTGAGCGGAGAATTCGGCTTGAGAGACTGTGCTGCGGGTCACGGGCCATGGTTCAGAATGTGAAAGCATTTGTTTTTTCACTGCGTTGCCGGATGTCGAAAAGCACCGGAGTCTGAAACAAAGTCCTGAACCCCACATGCGGCATGCAGAGGATGGCGAGCTTACTCCCAACATCACGGGCGAGATCCACGTCCTCACTCGTTGGCTGCCGGTAGAGATGAAGCAGGTGCTTCCGAAGCATGTCTGCAAACCATGCAGTGTTCCGACACCAGTTGTCGTTTAAGCGCAGAGTGGACAGGGCAGACATGACCTCATGTTGCAAAAAACTGCAATTGCTAAAGTAAGTTGATACGTGCACTGTATGCATACCACGTCATGTGTGTATACCTAACTATATGTGTGTGTGTATATATATATATATTCAGATAAATAAAAGGTCTATAAGCACAGACCCCCGCGCACGCACACACTCCGATATGTACAGACAAAGTCCGCGCGCATCTGCATCGCCAGAGATGTAACGGCAACACTCACAGTAATAGCAACTTCGTCCCCTAAGGTAGCAGTTAGAGCTTGTATTGACAATACCCTTGGTGTTCTTGGAGGTGTTCGCCGACGGTCAGGAGAAGATGCAGCTCTCCGTTCGGCCCATGCCTCTTTTCAACCTGTCACTTCATGGCTCCTAGAGCTTCTTGTTGTCTGCTTCTTCTTTTGTTGGTTGTGGCCACGCCTGCCCAATACTATTGCATAGCCTAAGGTTTATGCCTCATTGTCTACGTATGTTCTTGACGTTCGTCGTGGTTTACTAGTTGTTGCCCTCATGTTGTGGCACCAATGTTGTCATCACTACTACGGCGAAGAGAAGCGTGATGGTACTGACGACTGTGATGATAATCATAATGATGATGATTATGAGGATGATGATGACGATGACTGTAATGGTGATGGTGCTGATCAGCGTATGGCTGTGATTGGGGCGGGGTGATGCTGACAAACGTGGTGATGATGAACACGACAGCAATGACTGCGATAAGGAGTTGTTTTTTTCTTATAGTTTTTTTTTTTGTTTTTGCCTTTTGGCTTTTTGCTTCTCGGCTTCTGTTCCTTCCTGGTTTGCTGTCCTGTGTAGATCTTTATGTAAATCCACGTGTAGAAAAGCGTAGATATGTCCACATATAATCACATATGAACATATGTGTACATTATCTATACAACATGTAAACAGATGCATGCATACATACATATACATTTTTTATGTATCATATGTATAGCTATGTATATACGCATACATATACATATGTACAGCATATATATATATATGTATATGTAGCTGTCTTACATTTAGTATAAGTGAATGTATAATGTATATGTATATATGATGATAAATGGACAATTATATAGAAAACATATATATATATATGTATGTATATATATATATACATACATGTAGATGATAGATAAATCGAAAGAAAGATTGCTAGCAAGGTAAGTAGAGACGTGTATACACACCTTAGATAGCTGAATAGACAGATAAGTAGGTAGAATCAGAGGTATGTCTATATATTAAGATATTCATATGTATACGTATAGGTACACTGTACACATGTCTCTGTATGCACTGGCTTGGGCAAACTGAGAGTTGGCAGGCTCCCCGAGAAAAACTGCTCAAAAGGATAAGAAAACGATAAAGCTTTTGAACTTGAGTTGTTGGTAACCTGTTCTTAAGAGCTATGCGCATCTTCGGATACGTAATTGTAGATGGGTCATGGCTTGCTGTCAAGATATGGACCTCAGAACCCGTAATGCATACGTACATTGGGTTTGCAAATGGGGGGGGGGCAGCCCCCCACCAACCACCTCCCCGCTTTGTTTTTGTGCCGTGCATTGCTTCCTGTCAAGAATATCGCGCCGTCCGGAAGAATTGTGTCAGTCACATAAGTGTAGAAGTTTTCAGTTATCCAAATCCATCACGCAGGCGAAGTGTTGAATTTCTTCAAGTTCCATGATACAGGCATGTCTGCAAATGGGGGGCCCCAGCTTTTTGAAGCCGCGCAAGCTCGTTTCAAACATCATACTGCCAGCAAACAGGTACACAGAGTTCATATGGATCGCCACAGAGGGGGCGTTTGTAAGATATATGATGAGCCGGAATACCCCAAAAATTGCTGAGTGACTCGGCACCCTCCGGATGGCCTAGCAAGAATCGTTTGTGCTAATCGCTTGCATGAGTCCGCATGAGCAGAGAGGCCTGCACATGTACATTCCGGCGGAAGTTGCGACTTCAGACGGCATGGAGTTTCTAAATTAGCTATAGTTTGCTTGAAAGAAAGGAAAGTAAAGAACATACCGGAACAAAAAAATACTTAAATTCATTCTGGAACCTTGCGATAAGAAGGAGGAAGAAGATCGTGTTTATTGTATATATGTCCATGAGTTTCGTGTCCGTCTTGCTGTCACGCATCGAGCAAGCGGAGAGAGAATCATGAAGGCCGGCTTGAAGGTTTCAGAGGCAGAGCGAGATGAATTGAGGCAGAACTGCTGAGCCAGCCCATTTCTTAGGTGTAATCCGCTTTCGGGGCTTTCCTCCAAAGCAAGCTACGACAGAACTCCCCAATTCGACCCAGTTGGACCTTCAGATACAATACTAGGAAAGCTTGGAAGCCCTGCATGTGTCCAAGGTCTATGTTCTTAAAGGACATCTGGAGCAAGGCCGGGATGGATGGATGATTTAGCACATAGAAGTAATGCAGTGTGTTGCTGCTAGCACCCCTGTCAAGCCTGTTGCAATACACGGTCCATGGATATTGCATGACCTTAGCCATAAAAGTAACCGGTTTGGTCTGGGCAATCATGCTGACAATAGTGACATCGGTGGAAATAAATAGTCATAAAAGCGGAACAGTAGTCGTGAGAGTCGCCATCAACCCCAGCACCACCAATACATCAGCATCAACATAAACATCAGCATCAACAACATCATCGTCATCACCATTACCATTAACATCATCATCATCATCATCGTTTTTGTTAAATTTCGCGGCTCATGGCTTTGATGTTCATGTTCGCCTTTACAACAGCAGCAACGATCTGAAGACTACTCGCAGGGAAGATATTAATAAGCATAAAGTTGTAAGTCGACACGCGTTTTTGCAATCTGTGTTGCCAGTGGCTCTGGTGCTACTTACGTTCCCAGTCGTACGACAAAGGGCGAGAGACGAACAGTTCTTATCGCGAAGTGGGTCAGTGTGGACAGCTCATCCTCTGCCGTTTGATGGCAGGTCTGCCAGCCGAGAATTCGCGAGCCGATTTATGGTGTGGAAGCCATGTACCACGCTTTGACCTACAATCCGAACCTCGTCCGGCTGAGGGACAAGGAGGCAAGACCGCACTTTTGTCATCATGCTGGATTCCTGGCCACTGCTAGTGCGGCATGGACTCATGCCGCTCATGCCAGCAAACTCCTTTCGCATGAGAAGTGATGACTGCTGCCTGGTTGCCCATTTCTGCATTCCACATCTGCGTGAGTGCAGGGCACGAAGTCTCCGGAGACTTTGAAGGACAATGCTCGAAGACATGTCGAGGACTCTCATCATGTCGCTTGTGTTTTGTCCAAGTGCTTGGGCCGCTGGGGCCCCAGACCGTGAACCCCATGCATGGCTTAACAAGCTCATGCCCTGATGTTCGGTTCTACTGCAGAGATTTTTCGAGAGACGACCCTGTGACCGGACGTTCAGTGCACAGGTCTGCCCAGCGACTTTGACAAGGGCAGTACATCCGCAGATTGAGAAAGTTAGCGTTGCTTCGATACACTTTCGCTTAGTTGACTTGCATGCTGAAGTTGTGATGTTAGGTCAGGTCTTTGTGGCCCCAACCCCGTTCCTGGTCTCGCCATTCTATATGTACCATACATCGTGCCTGAAGCCGCAGGAGTTGTCGAACTGCGTGCCTTACCTGGAGTGCCTAGAGAGGCGTCAGCTCAATGCCTGGAACATTTTTCAGGCTCGGGGCAGTGACAGTTCTACGAATCCCAGAGAAGTAGATGGGTGAGGGTGAGGATGGTGATGGCAGTGAGAATGATGGTGATGATCAGTGTGATGCTGATGATGAAGCTGCTGAGCAGATGAAACGCAGATGGCAGCAAGACTCAATTGATTGCATGCCGCTTGAGGTTTTGAGCTTTGTCAGTACTGGCCGAAGGATCTCAAGGGACATATGCGAGTTTAGGTTAGGTTAGGCTTCGATGTTGAGATTTGTGGTCCAAGGGTTTCACAGTGAAGCCGCAGTAGCCCTGAGCGTACAATGTCGGGCAAGAAGTCTAAGCGCCCTGAAAGTTTGCAGGTGCATCGGCCAAGATCCTCACTCAGAGCCGAGTTTGAAGTCCATATTTACCAACGCCGAACACCGCAAGCCCCAGAGTCCAGAAACGCCCGAGTCCTGAGCCCCACCTGGATGCAGTTTCAGAGTACAGATCACAAACTTAACTTCGAGCCTCGAATATCGGAACCCGGAACCCGAGCACACTAGCTGTCATTCAGGCAGAGCTACAAGACCGTGGCTACGAAGGTGCCAGCCTTAGCGTGCACGCATACCACAGTGCTGTTAGTACTAGTTGCAGCATGACGACGACGACTAATATAATACGACTGCAACGACTACGACGGTGCAGGTGCTGCACTTTCTGCTGAGCTTGTAGAAGCCTGAGTTTGGAATGCGAATCTTTTGCCCAGGCCGCAGTATCGGGGAGCTGCGTTTGCTGTGGCAGCAGAACGAGGCTCGTTTTTCTATCAGACTGAACGTGAAGATTTCTCGGTCTCGTCGTTGTGGAAGATGAAGATTGTGTGTCGAGGGTTATTGGGTTTAGAGATTCAGGAGCATCCTGTTCAGGGATGCCGGATCTGAAGTAGAGTGTGTGCCCTCACTTGAGTGCATCGCGAAGTGAAGGCCCTAGTCATGAGCCGGTAGGCAGGAATGACGTCTTCCGTCTTCAGCTTTAGGGCAGAGCAGTGGGAACGGGCTTAAAAAAACCCTTTACTTCTCAAAATCGCTTGAACCTGTGTTTCACCGACATACTGACTTGCGATTCAGCACGGCGGCTGCGAGGACCAGGCAATGCTAAACAAGCTGCAGCAGCTAGTCCTCAGAGGTGTCGGGACCTTGGCTAAGGCTGTGGCTGTGCTCACATGTAACTGTACCTATCGATCTGTCAATCCGTGGTATTTAGTGTGGTACGCTGTCTCCTAATTCATTGCTTACGTCTGCACTTTCACTGTCAAGTTGTCCTTTGGTCTTCCTGTCTGTCTTTCTGTCTGTCTGTCTGTCTGTCTGTCCGTCCGTCTATCCGTCTGTTGGTCTCTCTGTCTTTCCGTCTGTCGGTCTGTCCGTCTGTCTGTCTGTCCTTCTGTCCTTCTGTCCGTCTTTCACTCTTTCCGTCTCTCCTTCTGTCCGTCCGTCCGTCTGTCTGTAGGTCGCAGGTAGGTAGATAGGCAGGCAGGTCGACAGGCAGGTAGGTGGGTGGCAGGCAGGTAGGGAAGCACACAATGCATACACGGATAAATGATGGACTGATGGATGGATGTACGTGCGCACCTGCGCACCTCGGCGGCCGAGGAGGAGGCATCCCGCAAAATCCCCCAAGGCCCCAAAGCTCGCTGTCGCGTGCATCGCTGGGACATTTGTCCCAGGTGCCCAGCGCGCTGCGGCCGCAAGTGTGGGCAGAGCCCGTCCAGCGAATTTCTTGGGGTACAGAGCAGAGCAGTGGCGCCACCTTCTGGGCTTGTGATCTTCATGCATTCGGCGTGTCTTTTTTTTGTAGCATCTCCGGGGTGCAGGGTTCAGCTGAGGGGAGGCCACATGGCTCAATTTGAGGTTTTTGGGACGAACCCCGTGGTGTTGCCTTCCCGCCTGCTACATGAGCCGAAAACTCTTTCCACATTACAGGTCCACGCGCAAAGACTCATTTGCTCTCACCATATCTCGCCTATGGTCCTTTTCCTTGAGCTTCAAGCCCGTGGGCCGGAAAAAGTTCTGGAGCTCGTTGGGTTCTACACGAGTCCTGGCAGCTTCGAGCCAGGCTCACGCTGGCCAGCCGCGTGGCGACGCAGGACGGAGCTACCTACGGCCGCGATCCGGAGGCCCTGAGATGTTTAAAAAAGGAGATCTGGAAGCTTGGAAGCTCCGGACTGCGCAACAGGGTCATCATCGTGAACAGCATCAGACTTAGCAGTCAACCTGAACCCACAACAGGCAACCCAGGTGCATTCTAATAAAGCCAACATTCAAGTTCTCGTTTGCCTGCATGCCCAACAAGCGCCTCGCACCCCTGACGCCCAATACCATGAAGCCTTGATTCCGAGCCATCAGGCGAGTGGTGAAGATGCCGCGGAGCAGGAGAGGGTGTCGAAGTCAGGTTCAAAAGCCAGAGCAAGGGCTTTTGCTTAGGAGTTTCCGACAATTATGAGCCGGAAAGTGCATTTGCATGAAAGCAGATGCATTGTGCGAATGGGTTTCGGAGACCCAGATGCATGGCTTGTCGCACTTCCCGTACACCTCCCTAAAGGTGCAAGAACCCTTTTGCGAAAAGGACCAATGCATCCTTCCCCTCACTGCGACTTTGCTGAACTCTAGAAGCCTCCCTGTAAACGAACGGCAAAATAGACCCTGAACCACACATGTATACCTTGGGAGGAGTATCGTCATCTCCTGGAGCGAGGCTTGCCACAACTTTCCGATGCGATGTTGCAGCTCCAGGAAGATGCCGGGAACTGAGTATTTCTAGTAATTCTACACGGAAGGAGGAGGAGCAGGAGTAGGAGGAGCAGGAGCAGGAGCAG